TATGAACCAATTGGTCCCAATTTTTTTCTAATAAACTGTTTAGTCCTTGGATATTTTGAGGGACCTTAATGCCCTCATTTAGATGTTATTAGATGCATACTCTTTATGAGGGTGTGTCACGTGACACACAGAATGAGTGTCACACATCAACAAAGTACACTAAGGCTCTTTATGCTTTTTGCCTTGGAGTGTCACAAAATGGGTGTCACACATCAAATAAAGTACACTAAGGTTCTTTATGCTTTTTGCCTTGGAGTGTCACGTGACACACACAATATGTCATGTGACACATACAATGGGTGTCACACATCAACAAAGTACGCTAAGGCTCTTTATGTTTTTTGCCTTGGAGTGTCACGTGACACACACAATGGGTGTCACACATCAACAAAGTACACTAAGCCTCTTTATACTTTTTACCTTGGAGTGATATATGTCACGTGACACACAATGGGTGCCACACATCAACAAAGTACACTAAGGCTCTTATACTTTTTATCTTGGAGTGATATATGTCACGTGACACACACAATGGGTGCCACACATCAATAAAGTACACTAAGGCTCTTTATGCTTTTTGCCTTGGAATGATGTATGTCACGCGACACACAAACGGAAGGGTATAATTGACCACTCAATGTTACTAAACAATGGAAATAGGATCAACTGGTAAGATATTTCTCCACTAATAGGACTAATCAAAACAATAGAAATAACCTTAGGACCAATCAATAAAACTGTTTGTGAGATAGGATTTATTGATAAATATCCTTATTTTAATTTAAAAAAATTACTATCAGAAAAATAAGATGCTCGCGTGATGCGTTGAATTTTTTGTTTTTGCTTTTGTTTTTGTGATTTTAGAAAACTTGGCATAGCATGATATTAATGAGTATGTGAAGTTGTGTTTTAAATTTATTTTAATAATTTAAATTATTTATAATTCATAATAAAATAATGTTTATATTTTAAAAAAAAATTAATATAATTTTGATAATTTTTTAAAAAATAATTATGACTAAATTATAAAATCATACATGTCCTATTAATTAATTTATTTTTATATAAATGATATGCTTAAAATATGATGAAAATAAATCTCACAACGTGGTGGTACTCTCCGAGCATGGTAGTAACTTTAAATAACATTCAGTGTGTTTGGTTTGAGTTTTTTGGATTAAGTTTTTTGAAAATTGACTTTTTTAGTTTTCGTGTTTTTTTATTTTTAGTGAATATTTTTTAAATTTTAAACATTTTTTTTACTTTTTTAGATGCACCTTACTTAGATGTGTCTAAAAAATAAAAAACATTTGTGAAAAATATTTTAAAAAATTAATAAATACCATAAAATGCAAAAAAATAGTTACTGAACTTCTTCCGTTTTTTATATTATTTTTGAATATATATTTTTGGTATTTAAGTGATGATTTTAAAAGTTTTTTTTTTACAAATTTTTTTTACTTTTTAGGTGTATTTATTGTTAGGTGCTGTCTAAAACGTAAAAATAATTGCTTAAAATATTATAAGAAATTACATAACAAAAAAAAAACACGTGAAATAATAACAGAAAGTAGAATATTTTTTGAAAATAGAAGACAAGCAAGGTGATTTATTGATCAACCTTTGTTCCCAAAATACGCAATATCTTAGGATAATTACTTCGTGTATGTAAGTAGATATAAATATAATAAATAATAATTTTAAAAATTATCTACCATTATTTAATAAAACATTTAGATCTATTATATTAATTTAAATTTATATCGCAGTTATGTAATAAGAGATTTTATTGTATTCCTATATGCTCATTATAATTTATATCCTCTTATATATAATTCTTAATAATAAATATAGTTCATATATTTAATTGGTAAATTAAAAAGTACATTAAAAAATTTGATATATGTTGATAAAATATAAATACATTTCATCTTATGAGATTTCGGTAAATTTATTTTATCATAGATATGATGGTAAATTTAATACTTGCTCAATATATTAAATGCTTTCATTTTTTGTAAAGTTCCTAAAAATTTGTCTAGCATCAAATTATTGTTTGTCTTAATGTTATAATGATTACTAAGAGATTAGCGATTACGATTTATACACTTGTGATATTTAAGTTTGGACTTAACATAGATTTACGCCAACTTGGACCTTCGCCTAATCATTAAAAGTTAACTTGGTTTATTCTCAACTTATACAAATTATAAATTAGTAGATAGATATTTGTAAGTAATTTTTTTATAATAAAAAATAAGAATATGGACATATTTTATGCACGCTTATTAAAAATTTGAACTTAGTTTTAAAAAAAAATATATATATATATATATATATTTACTGTTTAAAACATTTAAATTATAGTTATTATATATATATATATATATATTTATGTATGAAAAAATTATCTAAGATAGAGCCACCCTAGATTTTGTGAGTATTATTCTGGAGCATCGATTACATTTTGTGAGTATTATTAATTACAAATTTCAAATTTCTTATATGAATGAATTCATAAATTTGGTGTTTTGCAGCTTTCTTTATGTTTAATCTATTGATATGTTCAATTCATATTCAATTGATAAAAGCTTACAAATTGATTATAGTTTAGATGCTATCCAATAATAGATATGATAAAAGCTTACAATTTGATTACAGTTTAAATGTTATCCAATAACATATATGCATGTGAGTATGAATTTAGATGTTATTAACCTAATAAATAGGAATTTCTATATGTTTATATGTGTATACTTAAAAATCTTACAAATTTATTAGAATCTATTGCTTAATATGTTGGATTTGGAGTTTGAAATTAATTACGAATTTAGCTCTCAAATTAAAAAAAAAAATTAATTTTTTTTTTCCATATCATCATCTGGACCCCTAAAAAGAATAATCAATTATAGAACCAAAGAACTATTTAATGTTCATGAGTTTCTGGAGCTAAAATGGAGAAAACAATTTTCTTTTTCTTACTATTCCAAATTGAGCTGTCATAGCAACTCACTAACAACACTGCATGGACATGGACTTCACACCCACTGGCCTATGCTATACTTCTGCATGTTTGATGCTTGTTTGGTTCTGTAAATAACTTAAAAATTATTAACATGACTCTGAAAAAAGGGAGTTGCTATGACTCTGAAAAAACAAAATTAATGGTTGAATATTGGAAGTAAATAACCATTAGCACAGAGCCAACACACTGAAAATGCAGTTAATATCCGATAGCACAGGAATTCAAAAAATCTAATGTAGTCAATGGAAAAATTGGTAAAAAACATAGCAAAGCAATAACCGATTTTGATGATAAAAAACAGAGCCAACTGATTTTGGTGATAAAAAACAGAGTCAACTTGAATGTAGTCAACTTGTTCTTCTTCTTCAGTTTTACTCAATAGAAAAAAACTAAGCTCTGATGAAGGCAAAACAATAACAAAAGAAAAAAAATAAGAACCACAGTAATAAACTAACCCAGCCGAGCAGCCAAAGTGATGTTGCAGCCGAAGTGAACAACGGTGAGAGTGGTTAGAGTGATCCACAGCCGAAGTAAGCTCTGATGAAGGCAAAAGCTGAGAGAGGGGAAAAAAAAATTCAAGAAGACGAACATAATGAGAGAAAGGTAGATAATAATCAATTCTCTTAAACTCAGCAATTAAAGTCATGTTTTCAACACTAAATAATAATACTGAATTGGTTCAAAACACTTTTCCAACAGTAGTTAAAGTCATGTTTTCAACACAATACGATATTTTTCTTCAATAAACCCAGCAGTTAAAAATACAACAGTTCAATAAACCCATTAAGTCATGTTTTCATTAAAGTCATGACTTCACACCCACTGAACCCAGTAGTTAAATCTATAGGAGTTTTGCAATGTGGGTAAACTCAAAAACACACCCAGAAGATTGAAACAGAGCAAGGAATTCAGCAATGGGAGAGACAGACGGTAGACAGAGAGGGAGATAGAGAGGAAAGGAAGATACTGAGGGGAGAGTCAGTGTCGAGTAGGAATGGAAAGACAGACGATAGACAGAGAGGGAGATAGAGAGGGAAGGTAGATAGAGGGTATGAGAAGACAGATGGTAGATAGAGAGTATGGGGAGACAGAGGGTAGATACACAGGCAAATCATTTGTATCTTAGGGAGAAAGTATTGGACGGGAACCACCCATTGATCTAAACCATTGATAAACACTTAGATTCATCTGAGCCATCCAAATGAAATGTGTCTCTCACACATTTTATACATTTTCAAAAACTCTTCTCCCTTATTATATAGATTAATAGATATATATATATATATATATATACATAGAGGAAAATATTATGATACATACCTTTTAAAGGATGTGCACCATATATACAAAATGACCTAACTGCAATTTTTTGAGTCAACTAAACTTAACATGTGACATAATTAAAGAACTCATGAGTCATAATTATAACTAAAGAAGAAAATTAATTATAACTAAAGAAAAAAATAACATAATTAAAAGTGCATATAGTACACTTTTTAAAAGGGTATATATTAAAAATTTTCATATATATATATATATATATATTCCTACATTATTGCATTTAATGTGCCTATGTGAGTATAGGAAAAGAGAAAAATTATGTAAAATATAATTATATTTCACTTATTTTTTCTTTCTCTTTCTCTTTTCAAATCTCTATCTAAGGTCAAGTTTGGGAAGACTAAATAAGTACACTTTTTGACTTTTTATGAAATATAGATTGGATTTGGATTGGGTTTGAAGTGATGTGTTAGAGAGCTGATGTGACTTAAATAAGATGATGTGACTTAAATAGGATAGTGACTTTTTGACTTTTTAGATTTTTTGGAGGATGCCAAACTTGGCCTAAATTTATGATTCAAACACATTTTCAAAATTGCTGCAAAAGCATAGCAAATAATCTATCTAAAAGAAGTAAAGTAAATGCTCAAGATTTTGTCGGCAAATAATGAAACCGTACTAAAAGAAATGCACATGTCGGTTGAAATTGCAGAAGTTGAAAGATGTAATAGGCTGAACCACCAGCTGTTGCAACCTCTCAGGGATCATAATCATATATCTCATGGGCCTTACTCACAGACAAACACATAATCATATGGTGTGCAAGTACTTTGGGCCCCCAATACTTAATGTCACATTACCTATCACACAGGCCCATTGCCTTAATCATGTCCATTTGCCATCATTTTCCTTTCCTATTGTTTGTTTGTTTTTTTCCATCAACATACAGTATGCATCAAGTTTATAGAATCAAAATGAACCTGACCTAATTTTACAAAATCCCAAAACTTTAAGTTAATTAAATCGGAATTCAAAGCCCATTGGAACGAGGATCTTTGAGCAGGAACTCGGATGTCAAATAATCTCTGAACAAGAACCCCCCAGCAAAGCAATGAAACCAATTATCAAAATTACACAAACGTAGTTTTCTTCCATTGGAGAAGCATAGTATCGAAGCTCTGATCAGTTTCAACCTGACTAAGTATGCTTTCAGACCCTATAACCAGTTCTGGCAAGCTCCACCTGCAAAACCATTTGAATTGCGTATGTTTCTGCCAAAACTTTTAGGTTTCTAAGCTTTTTCAGCATTGCGGAGATGCCTATCAGGCCCATTCAGATCCACGAATCCTGAATATGAGGCTCTTCTCTTAGTCTTATAATTTTTACCTCCTCTTTTCAGTCCTTTCCGTCCAGCAAGCATCACATACATTATTGCCAAGAAACCCAAGATAGAAAAAACCCATAGACCCACAATCCAAACCCTGAAAGAGCTAAGTGTCTCGTTTGTCACAGCAGGTAATGAAGATTCCTGAGAAACATTTGTTGACACAACAGGGCTGCTTCTTATGACTCGACTTGTATCAATCTTGCCAAATTTTCTAGAGATTGTTGTAGCTTCACCGGTTGTCTCCTGATTCGAGGTCAATAAGGAATTGGGATCAGGACATTTCCTCTTCTCGTGATGTAGACGTAGAGCTTCGTTCAGTGTCTTTGCACATTCTATGCTAAGCAAGTCCCTCTGTCGAATGTTCTCATCAGTGCGATCAAGTGTTGAAGGATCAGGTGGATCAGGAAACTTTGCCCAGCATTTGTTAACTACATCAGCATTCCTCCAGTTTGCTTTATCAAAGCTCCAATTTCCAACGCTAAATTCCAACCCATAGTGGAAAACTCTATACTTGACGCCAGGTTCAGGAACATATCCCGGGTATATTAATATCTCCCTGTTTATGACATGCCGTAAATTCAACTGCACCACAGATAGTGATAGAACGGGATTTCATCATCAATCTTAAAAAATTACCTCAATTGAAAAAGTTCATAAATTCTACCAGGATTATAGCAAAGAAATGGTGCTGAAACAATTGTAATCACCCTGTTTTCTGGGATTTTTTTTCCCCTTCAAATATAGAAACTAGTTTTGACGAAAATAAACACAAAAAGACATTTCCAAATTTTCAAATTATTTTTGCCTCAAAAAAGAGAAAACCATATGAAAATAGAAGTGTTTTTTATTTTTCATTTTAACCAAAAAAAAGATTTTGAAAATGAAACCAAACGGGGAGATGATCAGTCGTTTCAAATGGAGCTCAAGAAATTTGTAAATGAAATGTGAGCGCATACCTCTGCTGCACCAAAAGAATAACCGTACATCTCACTAATCCACCCAGATTCATAGATATCTCCGGTGATATTTTTGGCATAATGAGCTGTATCGGACCGGACCTCCTCTGTTTTATGCAGCCATAGTAGAGCAAACTTCCGAAGATCATCTATATGCATTATGATCACACCACCAACCTTATCACAAGCTTTAGGATTGCTTGTATGGAGTTTCGCTAGCTCATTATCACAGCCAATAAGGTAGCTAACAGATACAAAAATGGAAAAGTAAGCGGCTGAGATATTAGAGTTGCAAACCAATATACAACGAAACTTGCAACCAAAATGCATCTAATTTGCAACACAAGTGTTACAGAGAATTAAGAGCGGATTAAAATTGTCTTACTCATAGGGAGTTGAAACTGGCCAGCCGCGTGCGGCTTTGAATTCCCATGGTGTAATTGGTCCTCTCATGATCATGTCAGCGTCAAGAATTACTATGAACTCTGCATCAACATTTGCATGATTAAGCCAATGAAGGACTGAAGCAGGTTTATTGATTGCTGGATACCTGATGTGGAACAAATGAAACCAGAGATTAGATAAATTAAATACCTCAAAATATCAAGAAAGTTTCTAAAACAAAGCTACATGGCACGCTAATTTATCTACAACAAAAAAATTGCAACAGATTCACCTATACATATTTCATCTTCATACATGAATTGTGACGTGGACAAACAGTATACTGTATTCAGATAATGTTTAACATGTTCCTTTGGAGCAAGTGAAAAGAATGTCATGATCAGAAAATATCTAAAGATTAAATAAGCAGCTATGAATTTAGAGCTTAAACAAATTTATTTTTAACATCCTCAGAAATAGAATGGTTGGGTTGCATCAGACAAGCGAAGCATGAAGAAAGAGGTAGATAAGGAACGGGACACAATATATAGAAAACCAAAGAAAGAAATCCAACAAAAAAAAAATGTAAAGCACTAGAGTCCAGCAAAGCTTCCTTTCTGGGAAAAAAAGAAAACAAAAGAGGGCATGACCCACTGTTGGTCCCCATTAAACCTATAAGAAGAAAAGGTCCCCAATAAGAAGCATAAGGCAAAGAAAAAGCATATAGACATAGGGTAGAACTACCAATCGCCTGTTAATGGATGTCGACTCATAGATGGAACATAATGGGTGGGAGCCAGATTGTGGCCTGCATAAAACTTCAAGTCTTCATCTGTACAACTAAGAAGCCGAGTGATATTCCCAGGCTGGCCACTCAGATTGAAACTGTGGACAAGTCCCACAGTTTGCCAGTCAAAGTAAGGAGTACATTCTGTGGAAAAAATGGTGTGGATTTTTGGATGTGGCCTCCCAGGTTCATCAAAGACCTGCTTTTGCACCTCATCCTCCATGATCCGCAGACTATCAGGAGTAGGAAATTTTGGCCGAGTTAGTTCAGCAAAAGTTTTGCTCTTTAAGAAGCTCAAGTACTTTGACCATTTTGGCTTTGGGCAGCCATGTGCTGCATGCTGTAACAGGAGACCCTCATTCAAAGTGTTAATACATTCTAAATTCAATAAAAATGCCCTTCTTTTGTTTGGATCAGCTTCCATTGCTGTTACCTGCACAAAGGAAATATTTAAGCATCTAGAGGAGAAAATAAAAATAAAATTAAGGGAACTAGAATGCAAATCATCCATATGACTCCACATTACACTCAACCCTCTAATGAATAATAAATCAAATGAAACATAGCCATTATCAGTTGATAGAATTAGCAGTCATAAAGTTTTGACTTGACCTTTCAGTTACCGAAAAACTTCCCCATTGAAATCAGATATAGCCTGTCATATGGATCTTTTAAAGATATATCCATTCTATCCACAAAATTCTGCATGTTTCTGATATTTTCTAGAATGAACATTGATCTTTTAGTGCTTGTTTTTATCAACTTATATGGGGCATTAGTATGCTGATTGACTATTGACCAACTAATGTCCTCAAGATGGAACATAAGTCTCCTCCATTGGTGAATTAACAATATAACATTCACAATTAGCATACCCTTTCCCACCATCCTCACCAAGGTGGACTAGCTATATCCATTAATCACTAATGTCTCACATCCTTCCCTTGACACTCAACCCCAAAAACCTATATTTCTGCCCACTAAAATTAGATTTCTTAGGCTGGAAGCCCTCTATCATAAATTTTCATTTTTTAATGTGAAATTAAAAAATTAAAAATAGCATGCTCATAATGTAGTGACCTCTTAAAGTAGAACTTTCAAAGAAAAATCTCACCTATGCAATATCTCTTCCAATTAGTATAACAAGAACTACTATATATTATAGTTCTCAGTTATTAAAAAATTAAAAATAGCATGCTCATAATGTAGTGACCTCTTAAAGTAGAACTTTCAAAGAAAAATCTCACCTATGCAGTATCTCTTCCAATTAGTATAACAAGAACTACCATATATTATAGTTCTGAGTTATTATCGGTTATACAACATGAAACTAGGTGATTATAGTTCCATTTTCAGAGGTGATTACCTTAAGTGGAATTAGTTAATTGAGGTTCAAATAAAAATTAGAATGTCGTTTCATCCTTATTCCATTAAGCATGCAACAAAGACAGCATGCATCTTCATAAAAATTGCAATGTCCAGAGGTGAAAAGTTCTCAAGATGGCAGTTACTTCAATGAGAGTAGAAAGAATAGTGAAAGGACAGGATAGCATGAGAAGAAATCCTTTAAAACAACCAAATTCTCATTTCATAAACTTACTATCGTTTTACCTCTCTAGGATAAGGAGGTTCAGGGAAGAGCCGGCCACAATCATAAACAATACTATCTTCATGGTGACTTAATTTACTGAATGACCAATTTCCAACACTAAATGGCAAACCATAGTGCATAAGAATAGGCTCAACTCCGTCTCGTGGAATATAGCTTGGGTAGATCATCAAGTTATCATTAATTTTGTGACGAAGACCCACCTGACAAAGTCAATAACATAACAAAGTGAGAGAAAAAAAGATAGAAAAGTGCTAACTGCACGGAACAAAAACCCAACAAATGTTGAAACAAAAAAAAATAATTAAATTAAATGGAACCAAACAACCTCTGCTGCACCAAACGAGTATCCATACATCTCACTGATCCACCCTTTTTCATAAATGTCACCAGTTATATTTTTCGCCCAATGAGCTCTATCTGCTCTTACTTCCTCTGTTTTAGAAAGCCACATGGGTGCCAAAGCTCGAAGATCATCGATATGCATGGCCAAAAGTCCACCAACCTTGTCACAGAGTTCAGGGTGCTTTGTATGCAGTTGAGCAAGAATGTTATCACATCCAATCAAGTATCTAATGAAGAAAATCACATACTTAATTACCTTTTGTGATGAGATATAACTTATTTAAAGAGATAAAAAAGCACCCAAGGAAAGACAAGAAGGTTTTCACCTATGAAGTACGGATACTTCAAAAAGGGTGACGGATCCGTATCGGATACTGAAGCACGGATACTTCAAAAAGGGTGACGTATCCGTATCGGATACTTATCGGATACCGATACTCCTCGGATACTCGCGGATACGTATCGGATACTTCTTAAAAGTATCGGATACTTCTTAATTAATTTTTTATTAATTTTGAAGTATCGGATACTCGAAGTTATATATTACTTATAATATTTTGTTTAGTTCTTTCATAAGAGGAATATAGTGAGAGCTTAAGTAATAGAATTTGTCAAATTGATGTATCCTTGTTGTCTCTCTCACTTCTCTCTCGCTTTCTCACTCTCTCACGTTTCTTCTCTCTGCTCTCATTCTTGTTTTGGTGTTGGCATGTAAGGATGATGTTTAATTTGCATTTGCATTTGCATTTGCTTTTGCTTTTAGTTTTGGATGTTTTATGAATGTTTGAGCACTTTTAGGTTAATAGGAATCCCTCTATTTATTAATTTACTTTAAGTTTTATTTTCATGCATATTACATTATTAAAATTATAAAAAAAAAAAAATTTATGAATGTATCCCCGCTGTACCCGTATCATACTTTTTCAAATTTTGACATATCGCCATATCCACATCCCCATATCACCATATTTGTATCCGTGCTTCCTAGGCTATCATTGATGACTTAAAAAAGTATATTTGCTGAAATTTTTATTTAAGAATGGTTTTTTTGCTTTGGCTTTGGCTTTAGCTTTAGCTAAGGTCTTGTGATATTCACTGATGAAGGGGAACAAGTTGAAGCTATTGACCTTGAAGACTCTTAGTTTTGTAGGAATCTTTCTTCTTTATCAAGTTGTCTTTTGCTTTAAGTTTTATTTTTATGCATACTGCATTACTAAAAATTGTTAAAATAATATTTTTTACGAACGTATCCCCGCCGTACCCGTATCCTAGTTTTTCAAATTTTGTCGTATCGCTGTATCGTATCGTATCGGTATCCGTATCCCGTATCCGTATCCGTGCTTCCTTGGTTTTCACCAAAGGTAACCAAATAACAGGAAGAACTATAACAACAAAATGTCAGAATTTGAAGCCAACAAAAATGCCCCAAAATAATCTCCAGGGTATGAGTGCCTCTTTCAGCTAGAAAATTGTCTCTTCACTTATGAAGCCCAACAACCTCAAGAAATGAGAACAAAAAGAAAATGCAGCCAGATCACTGGAATCTTTCATGAGTTTCCAAATGGAATAACCTTAAGTCTGCTATGCATTCAACATTTAGCCTGGCATTGACCATCGCAAAATCATCCAATGAATGCGATTAAAATATCTTTGGTCCCTAGCATGTTTAACACCAGACAGAAAACAACATCTCTTTGCTTCAATAGAAACACATGATTCGAGAGACAAAAGTTCTAGATAGTCCTGCTTCAGGGTTCCTGATCCTAAACTCATCTCCAATCCCAATGGTACTAGGGTTTCAAGAGAGTATCCACTAACAATCACATCTTGAGATCCGACGACATAAGGATGGCATTCAAGATGAATGCAACCATGTCCAGCTTTGGATAAAACAAAAAGAAGGATACCTAGACACTTCTCAATGGTCAGAAGCAGAACAAAAAAAAAAATCAATGGTTTTTTAATTAGCTCAAATTGTTCTATATTCTCAACCAAATGTTGGAGCAAAATTTGAGAATTGTTGATGGTCTATGGTGATGTGACTTGTCTGTAGGCCCTTAGTGGAGAAAGAGAGAGAGAGAGAGAAGAAGCCGTTGATGTAGAGGGGTGGGGCAGTGAACTCTCCTTGAGGGTGTGCCTTTGTATGGAGGCGGAGAGCACCTTTCATTGGAGAATTGGGCCACGGAATACATATGCTAAACTGGAGAATTTTATATCTGGAAAGATTGAAAGATGAAAATATCGAGACAGGAGGAGGGTGAAGAGGGTCATAACAATATTACTATTGCCAACAAAATATTTAATGCTCAGGGATGAATAAAAACTGATTGACAAAATTAGGGGGACAGTGACTGATTCCAATGTTCATTAAATTAAAGTTCCAACATGAACCAAAAGCTGCATGACATAATTGAGTGCCAAGGAAAGTGTTGTTCCGCCACAGCCAGATTCCCACTAGAGCCTTGTTCCCAGCAGTCACATGGCAGAACCAAGCTCACCATCCAGCTTAGAGCAACAAATGCACTAGTATAGGATCACAAAATGTTTGCCTTTAGTTTCTCTCCATGTCAAACTTAAAGGGATTTTAAAAGACATGAATAGCAGTTGCAAATCTCATCCAGGGTGGTTTAAATATGAGAAATATTCAATTTATCAATATATATATATATATATGAGTAATTCTTCCCTCACTGAAGAAAAAAAAAAGAAAAAAAGACATGCTCCCCCTCCAACATGGTGGAAAGAAACAATGTGGGTGCTTGGAAAGTTGCTATTTTAGTTTTTGACTATTTTAGTAGGCAAAAATTTGTGTGTTTAGGGAGATGATTTGATTTTTTTTATAGTTAGATCAGATGTTTGTGCGAAAAAAAGTGAAATGATTATGAGTTTGATGTAACATTTTATCTTATTAGCTATCTTAGATTATTTTGTCTTTTTGTGAATTTTAGCCTTAAAAGGCTAAAATAGCCCTTTCCAAACACCACCAATAAAAGTAAAAAATGTAACCACATGTATTAAATAATGTACAATTAAAAAAAAAATTAAATTAAATAAACCAGCAAAACTGTGTAATGAAATTGAACAGTTGCGAGTTGAAAAACCAACTCAACCTCACAACTACCCACAGTATGAAAGTTTATCAAGGACGAACTTATACCCAAAATCTTGAATATGAAAATGTCTATTATTACCCATAATATGCAGCAACAGGTCTGCCTTTCTCTGCACCAATCTCCCATGGTATGATTGGGCCTCTCATGATCATGTCTGCATCTAGTATCACAACCCAATCGACATTTTGTGCATCTTTACTATGTTTAAGCCAGTGAACAACCCCAGCTGGTTTGTTGATTGCCGGATACCTGCACCACAATTAACTCCTTTACCTTTTTATTTTCTATTTATTTTTTGGGCAGTGGGTAGTCTTCAAAAGATTATGGAAGGGGTCTTGTTGGAAGAGAAAATCAATTGTGCACTGTAAAAACTTTCTAAAAATGAAAAGCATACACAAACACAGCAACAATGAAATATTAATAGAAGCAAAGGAAATTCATAGGGTGCATTCAAAAAAGTAATTATGAAGAAAAATAACATTATCATTAGTAGTTTAAGGGAAAAAAAAACCTATCCGAAGCCCAACAACCTCAAGAAATGAGAGAAGCAGCTACAGGATAAGCGTTTATGATCCAATTAACTACGTCAACCCATCGCAAGATTAGGTTAGAGTGCATATTGTGATGATTAGTAAAAGATGTTGCACACCGTGTTCTGAAAGTGGTCTCTCACTATGTTTGTTATCTCCTAGGATTCTATCCTGCCTTAATTGAGGGAAGATCTAGCACCACTTTTTGAAGAATTGAACTAAACCTGAACAATTTGAATAGCCCAACTCATCTTGCACTTCTATCCTGTTAAAAAAACTACTAGGTCGGTTGTTCATGCAAATACACAAATAAATCACTTTCTCTTTATAAAGAATTGAGTGCCTTTTGTAATCATACCATATTCCTTTGGGTTTTTTTGGGTGAATATATTCCTTTGTGTTTGCAGAGATAGATAAATGAAAATGTGGGTCAAACAACATAAACCCATTAAAAATTAGACAAGAACATATTAAAAATTTCATAATTGGCATTGTTAAATCAAACCCTTAAAACAATCACAACCCATGTCATAACTATCTAATTTAAATCAAAGACTGAATGAGAGAGAGGGAGGTACCAGTCACCAGTTTTAGGGTGTCTGCTCATGGAAGGTACCTCAAGAGTGGGAGCCAAGTCCATGCCTTTGTAAATCTTCTTCTCCTCATCGGTACAGCTGAGGAGTCGGGTAATGGGTCCGGGTTGTCGAGCCTTGTTGAAGCTGTGCACGAGTCCCACAGTCTGCCAGTCGAAGTAGTTCTGGCACTCCACAGAGAACAACGTGTGGATCCTCCATGGAGCTTCTTGGGCCGTTTCTTGGCAATACCCACCACTGATCAGACCCAAAATCACCACCACCAGAACCACGAGATTCGCCATTGAAGCTCAGTTCAATGGAAGATTTGAAATGGATAGTGTCGTGTAGATCTGAATTTCATGATCGGCTATGGAGTTTCTTTGGTCAAATCCCGAGATTTCTTTTAAGACTTTTCTCTCCCTCTCTCTCTCTCTCTCTCTCTAAGCGCGTAGTAGTGGTTGAGAACGAATGCATTAAAAAAAAAAATAAAAAATAAAAAATCGATGCACTTGATCGCTGAATATATAATATTTATTTATTTATGTATACATATAAAAGAATTGAAATCTCTGTAGATCGATCTCTCTCTCTCTCTCTCAGTTTCTCACTCACTCTGCTGGATTCATCATCAGCAAGTTGGTCTTCAACGAAGTCCAGTCGCTTACACCACAAAAGTCAATTTTGAAGGGGGTTTACCAAGGCAATTTTTATTCTGACAATGGCGGTGCAAGAACTATACATATAAAAGAATTGAAATCTCTGTAGATCTCTCTCTCTCCCTCTCTCTCAGTTTCTCACTCACTCTGCTGGATTCATCATCAGCAAGTTGGTCTTCAACGAAGTCCAGTCGCTTACACCACAAAAGTCAATTTTGAAGGGGGTTTACCAAGGCAATTTTTATTCTGACAATGGCGGTGCAAGAACACGTTCCTCAATCGAACAACGCCAGATTCAAGACACTCCAGTCCTCCTATTATTCTAGAAAAATACTATGGAATTTAAATAATTTTTTAAATTTTTTAAAATTTGATAAATTATTTACGCTTTGTTTGGTTATGATTTGTAAACGTGTTTCTACACGTGCGTTTGAGTATGATGTTTGGTTGTTGTTTTGGAATCAATTTTCACGAGCTCTACAGAGAGCTCTATGCATCAGCCGCAAAATTTTGCCAAGGGGAAGACCGCCTGGACGTCCTTTGGGACTTCCACCCCGATGTCCTCCGTTGTACAGATTTTTTATTTTTTTTGGCAATTGATTTATATAATTGGAAAAAATATTTTCTAAAATTTTTTTAATTTTTAATGTGCTTTGAAAAAATTTTGAGTTGTATGTTTAGTTATGAGTTGTAAATTTTTGTATCACATATCAAATATCACATCAACAATTTCCTACTCAAATCAAGCCTCTTTTCAAAAACTATTTTCAAAACTCTTTGCCAAACAAATTTTTTATACTCAAATCATAATTCTACAACACACAAACTTAAAATACAACTCATACTCTCAAACCATATTTTATAAAACGCAACCAAACACAGGCTTAAGTTTTCTAATATAACTCTTATTCTATCTTTAAATCGTTCGTGCATTAGGACAAAATTAATAATTAAAGCATGGATTGAGATAATAATAATAATGATAACTTAAATAAGTAAAAATTAAAATAAAATACTTATTATGTATGGTATGAGAACCTTTTTTTTCTCATAAATTTGAAGTTAAAAGTTTAATTTCGTATTTTAAATAAATTTTAAATAAAACAGTACAATAAATTTTTAATAAAAAATCACATACCTCTATAAAAATTAATCGTGTAGTAATGACGTTAGCCTTATTAAATTTTGCTTTACTCCTATTTTTTAGAGTCAAATTGTTCTCACTTAACATGTCTGTCAATCTCATTAGCTATGGCAATGAGATTTAATAAAAATTGAAAATTTTGTTCATTGGTAATAAAGTTATTATTATTATTATTTTTTTTTTTACATGTAATCAAGGTTGCATTGCCATATCAGGATCAGGATCAGGATCAGGATCCAAATTATGTTAGGATTTAAGAACAAATTTATCTCGTTGTAATTTGATATGTTTATATAATCAAATTGTTAATATCTATATATTTAGACACATTGATCAACCTTTTTAAATTTGAACATTTTAAAATAATTGTCTCAAATTCTAATAATTTTTTGCTCATAAAATGATAATAATTTGAAATATCGCATTACCCACTTATTTGTCTAGTTGTCTACGTATCTACTTATTTGTCTACCAATACCGCCATATATACTGAATCATTAAAAATCCTGGACCATTTGCTGAAATTTAAATCATTTTCGTAAAACGCATGACCACATTTTGGTAAAAAATTAGACTTTTGCGACACTGCATTTATGCGCTTAATAACTCCTTTCTATACTAATTTGTCCACTCACATTCCATTTGTCATTTTTTTAAAAATATCTTGATCTCAAACCAGGCCGGTCAGTTAATTAAGCTGCCAAATGTTTTCTCCTCCAATGCGAATATCAAGAATCAATTACTAAAATAAACCATGACGGAGTGTACTTAATTTTGTCATTCATGAAGTTCTTGCTTATATTGAAAATATCAAAACTTGTTTTGTTTAACCAAATGTTGTTTGCTCTAGTTACAATATGCAAATCTATGTGCGTGAAACTAATGCAAGAACTACACAAAATTTACACTCATCTTTTTAAAGTCATACCATTATTTGAAGAGATCAAAAGAGTGATCATTTTCTTATGAGTGGATCTCGACTGAGTGAGTCCATACTTCTTCAAAGTTTTAGTATAATTTCTTATGAGGGTAAACTTCTTGCTCCCAAGATGATACAAATAATTCCAGGTATAGATACCAGTTTTATGTAAGTTGTACGAGTACGAAATAATCTTCTCGTATAATCCTGTTGATCAAGTTTGTACTCCTCAAAACGTCGTTATTTTACTACATGAAAACACAAACGTGAGCTAGCCGGTGGGTGTGTGTCGGAAACCTCTCCGATGCCTAAGTCAGCAAAATAGACAATAGACACAAAAGCTCTGTGTGTTTGAGAGTAAGAATTGTGTTACCTCTACATAGGTCTTTCTATGAACTTTTATAGATTCTGCTTGGCACAACGCTAGTAGGACTCTAACTCTCCCTAGCAGAGTCCTCCTAGGAATCTCACTTCCAGGGATAATGTTGATCCTCATAACACCTTACTTACTGCCATCCAAGGAAGATGGTGGTAACCCTTACCTCGGCTAGAAGCACACTCAACCAAGCTTACACAGCTTCGTGTCGCTTCAAGCAACACTAGTAGCCCCTATTATAGGATAACACCCACCAAGCTATACTTAGCTCGGCCTATTCCTTGCTAATACCACTGCATGTTACCAAGCCTAGTTTTAGATAGCAAGGTCAGACCCCTGACGCCTCTGTCCAACTTGGTTTCCAGATGACCCAGGACCGAGCTGTCTATAGCTTTCACCGTGACCCGTAGCTCGGCCCAATGCGTTAAGACAAATAAATCTAGCTCGGCCCAATTTATTCACATACATTACCCTCTCAATTGCCCCTTTAATTCCATCTGGGCAGCATGATTGGGATTACTGTTTCAAAGTTGAGCTAAATGCACGAAATTCAACCGAACCAAAATAATTAGTTTGACTGAGGTAAAATATTCAACTCAATAGGTAGCTCGGTCGTTTAGAATCGTGCTGGTCGTACAGCCCGTCGTCCCATGTTTCTGGCATCTTGTCCTTACTAGGACACATGGTACGCACCCATTACCCCTCTGTACTGCAATAGCCGTCTTATAGTTATTAAGAAATTTTGAAAAGGCCCCCCGTTTTGCCTTCATTATAAACGCAACCTTCTTTTCTTGAACAATCACCGTTTACTGTTCATCTTTAAGCAAAAAAATCCTTGCGACCAACCCTCCAATCTTGCATTTTTGAGTTCTTCGAGCCTTGGCACCGTCGTTGTAGTGGTTCGGATTTTAATATGTATTAGACTGGTGTAAAGTGGTGCTCGTCACCTTAAAACTTGTGTGGTTGTTAGACTCTTGTTATTGATGGGTTGGCAAAAGAACCTTAAATATTATAATTAAGGACCCTTGGGTGATGTTTGGAACCTTGATTGAAGCCTTAACAAGGTATTTAGGAAAGATTAGATCAAAAGCCCCAAATTTGAGTTTTCATTTTTGACCAACCTTCACTCTTTAGCTCTTTTCTCTGTCCATACTTTGAATTTGAATGTGAGGCCAGAACCATTGGAAAGCTTGTTTCCGGGGCTTCGATTGGGACACAAGAACGACCTAAAATGGAGTCTGAACGAGAGAGTTACACATATTTGAATTCTTAATGCCTCTGTTGGTTTTCTATAGGGTTGACACCAGTCTGGGAAGGGTCGACCCTCTTATGTTGCAGAATTTGTGTGTTGGTTGCTGGAAAATAGGGTCGACCCTCTCTTGTCTAAAGGTCGACCCCCCTTGCTTGTGCCAGATTGTCTTTTCTACCTAAAGGGTCGACCCTCCTTGCCCGAAGGGTCCACTCCTGTGTGTGTGTGTGTTTTTTTTTTCCAGATTTTGGGGTTCAAATGAGCCCTACCTTTGAGGGATTTTGGGCCTATTATTTTATTGATCTTAGGGCTACTTCTCTACTACTATAAATAGGCCCCAAGCATGGTTTCATTTCACTTTTCTCCTCCCTTTTCCTCTCAAACCGTGAGTCTCTCTCATCTCTCTCTAAACCCAAAATTTTCCCACTTAGATTGCTAGATCTACTCATCTAGAAGCATCTTCTCATCTAGATCCCTTGAGGAAGGTTGTAGAGCGTGCCAAGGGATTTCAATCTATCCAAGCGGATCGTGTTTTCATTGAAGTTGAAACTTCGGGTTTCTCTCTCTCTTTGCTTAAGGTAGGGATTTTCCTTGCTTCTCTTCAATATTGTCTTGTGGATAGATGGGTGATACTTTTTATTGCATAAAGCCCTCATTTTGAGGAGATTTTTAGTAATGGCATGTGAAAGGAGCCAGGGTTTTTGATTTATGGAATTTGAATTGATGATTTAAGTGGAATATATAATGTTTGGGTCATGAGAATGTAGTTTTGTGTTAAATAACAAAAAGTCCTAATTTATGTTGAACCCTAGTTATGGAGTCTATGTTCGGAATAAAGAAAGCTTCAATTGACATTTGATTTATGGAATTGAGTTTATGTTTTGTAAAAGATGAGAATAAATTATGATGAATAATGGTTAGAAAATAACTATTGTATAGAAATGTTATTTTGAAGAAATTAAGATGAGTAATTAAATTAATTAATTGGGGATAATTTATGGTGATTATTGTGTTATGAAATTGAGTATGAAGATTTGATAATTTTGTGGAAAAGTTAGAAGACCTTCGAAATATAAGAATTGAGAATGCTTCTAAAAATGCGCCAAATGCTCTTAGTGGATGTGTTATTGGTTGAATTTTGTGATAAAAATGATGAATGTTATTATTGGTTTTGTTGGGATTGTAACAACGAATGACTTGATGAATACTAGAGAATGGTGGAAAATAATGAGTACGTGTTCTTGAGCTAATAAGTAATGGAAATGATGAATGAATGTGTTGGCTTTGCCCACAATTCATAATGAGCAATGACTTAAGAAATTGATGGTGGTTTCA